GGGGTGGGGGTGGGAAGACTAAAGCCCAACATGAAGGAGAACAGGGCACCTCGGGCTAGTTCCTCCCCTAGATCCTCAGCCCAACATGGCTGTGCCCAGGGGGCCCCTTGCTACCAGACTCCCATCCCCTCACTGGTCCTAGTTGCCTAAGAGGAGGCCCCTGACAATGGAGCAGCATGAGGAAGACAGCTCCAGGGCTGTCCGAGGAGGCTGACTGCATCATCTGACTTCTATGTGTTTATGACCTATGAGTCTATGACTTCAAAGGCTATGACTTAAGGCTCAGTCTCTTTAAGTAGTGGCCTTCCCTACTCATCCATTTTCTCCCCTTTCTTTCTTTCAGAATGTGGCGTCAGCTCAGGTAAGAGACCCTCTTTTTTCTTTCCAATTCCTATGTTCTTTGCTCTGGAACCAAAGAATGGGGAACCCATGGACCCTGGGGGAAGAGGGGTGGTAGAGGGCCAGAGACACCTGCTCACAGGTACCCACCTGCTCTCCTTTCCCACCAACAGTGTCCTATCAGCAAGGGGTCCTGTCTGCCACCATCCTCTATGAGATCCTGCTGGGGAAGGCCACCCTGTATGCTGTGCTGGTCAGTGCCCTCGTGCTGATGGCCAGGGTAAGCAGGAGGGCAGGATGGGACATACAGAGCGGAGGTGACACAGCAACTCAGACCAGGAGTATAGAGACCCTGCCAGGACCAGAGTGGGGCAGAGAAGAAGTAGAGGGTTTACCCACGTGCCTCAGAAGACACCTTGTCCCTCTGGGATTGCAGGGGAAGAGCCATGCTGGGAAGGAGAAGCTAGGGTTACCTGAAAACCCAATGGAGGTTGTGAGGAGCCCTATTCATCTTGTCAGTGGGCCATCCTGCTTCCTTTCAATCGCCACCACTCCTGGCTCCTGGTAACTCCCAAAACCTTCTCTCCTTCAGGTCAAGAGAAAGGATTCCTGAAGCCAGCTCAAAGGTGGAGCCAGAAGCTTCAGCCTGTTATTGCTCCAACATGGATTCTCCTTTTTCCATTCCTAGCCAGTGCCTCTGAAGAGCTATTCTAGTCTCTCTACTCATCCCAATAGCTACCCCCTTATGTGCTTGCACACCTGGACACTCATGACCGAAACCTCCCCGACCCAAGGGGGACCCTAGTTTGCGTATATTGACTGAACCAATAAAAATGGCTTCTTCTGGCTTGATTCTGCCTTGTGAATGTCTAGATATCTCTTCTGCCCATCTCTGAACTACCTGTGTGACTCCAGTCAGAATAGAAACAAGAGATATTCAAGGAAGGTCCAGTCCCCTCAGGTATGAGGGGTGAGAGACTCAGCCTATGGCTGACACTGCTCCTCCTTGTCAGGGGAACTTAAGAAAATATGAAAGTTGGTGATGGGATGTGAAGAGGTGTACTCTGGAACAGCCTAGAAAAATGGTGATGTTGACCACAGGAATTTTCTGTCCTACCTGGACAGAGGTGCTCTGAGAAGAGCAGACCAACCAGGTGTGTCCACCTGCTAACTGGTCATGTCCCCCTGGCTAACAAAGCTCGGTATCATATCTATCACCCACACTCCTTTCAGCTGTCTCACTGAGTACACTCTCGTCTTCATTTGTCACCAAGGAGGTTTCCCAGCTGAGAAGAGAATGTACTGACTTGGCAATTGGTTCTCAGTAGCAGATGTGTCTTCCAGTTTAAGTTACAAATCTGTTTATAAATTTCTCTCTAATGAATTAAATGAGTATGAAAATGTCCCCTGATCACTCGTGGAAGGATAGAAAATAAAGTTTCCCTAAAACCAAGCATCAGCCCTATCCTATTTCTAGAAATCCTTCAAAAGTCCTTTGTTGTCTCATTGCCACCATGGTGATGTAGTCCCAAGTCCTTAGGGTGGCGTATAAGACCCATGATTGTCCTCCGCCTCTTTATTCCACATGCATCTTGCTTCTCTCACCCCTGAACCCCCTGAGCCACTTGCTTTCAGGCCATTTTGCACTCCTCTACCCAGAACGACACTGTACTCTAACTTGTACTTATCCTTAAAGATTTAGTGCTGATACCTTCCCCTGCAAGAAGCTTTCTCTGGAGCTTTCTTGTCCCTTACTCCTCCGAGGTTGGAGTAAATGCACCGTATATTTTGTTATCATGGTGCCCTGGGCACACCTCCTTCATGACATTTATCACACTTGATGGAAGCTACCTCTTTACTTATCTGACACCCCCATTTGACTGTCAGCTCCTTGATGACAAGGATGCGTTATTATAGTATCCCTGAGATATGGCATAGTACCTTGGTTCGGTGTAGGAACGCAATAAATTGTCTTTGAATAAATGAATCAATAAATGAGTGAACCCAAGTGACCCAATTCAGGAGCAGATAAGGCCTGCCTGAAATAGCCATCTACCCTTCCACTTATAAGACTGCAGCACACAGCCTTCCCTCTCTGTTGCAGCATATATGAATGCATATATATATTCACATACACGAATGTGTGTACTCACTCATTAAGCACATATCATTGCAATGTTTTGCCACTAACTAACCTTCAAGAAAGTAAAGATATCCACATCACAGTTCCCAAGAAGCTTATCTCTTCATAAGGGGGATAATTCATGAATAGAAACAGCTGAAATACAAGGTGATGCTCTGAAACAACATGAGCTGTCTGCTAAAATGCAGTCAGAGCCTAGCCCTCAATTTCTGACTGGGATCATCAGGAAAGAGTCTGAGAAGGTGGCAATCTCTTCAAAGGAAGAATTGGTCTCAATTAGCCACGTGGGAGAGTGGTCATGACAGTCAGAGGCGTGAACAAAAGCTGAAACAACAGAGTCAGGGACTTCTGGGTATTTTCGTTTAGTGGAGTGCAATGGTCAGAGATGCAAGTAATAAAATACAAGGCTGAAAGGCAGGTTGGTGCACGCCACTCTGAGGATGGACTGGGATCCTTGAAACCAGCAGAGGCCTGGCACATAGCAGATGTTCATTAAACATTTGTGGGATAAATGAAGGATAGGGAGCTTAGACTTGGTTCAGGAAGCACTGCGGAATTATAGAGGTTTCTGGGCTGTTTGTCCTCATGCTATAAGTTGCCATCACCTGCTCTCTGGATTCCACCCCTCGCTCCTCCCACCCCACCTCACTATAAATGCCAGTCTGTGCAGGTGGGTACAGAGAGTCCCAGAGGGGAGACCTGATGACATAGGAGATCTCCTCAGAGCGGTGTATGTTCCAGGGTGGAGCCTCTCTGCCCACCCCCCCACCACCACTAGCACCATGACCTTCCCCAAGCCCCTCTCCACTTCAAAGGCACTCTGAGTTTGTCTTTTCCCAGCCCCACTCAACCAGACCAACCTCTGCCACCTGCGCTTCCTGCCTCGGCCCAGTGGTTGTGGGAGGGGGACCAAAGAGGAGGAAACATTTTTGAATCATGATGTAACATTGTGGGGACTGGGGGGGGAGCACGATGATTCAGGTAAAGGAGGTGCTTTTACAAAAAGCCCTGCCTCAGAAAATGTCTACTCCCAGCCCAGGGAACACAGCTCCTGGATGGGGAAAGTAGCTGGAGAGGTCTGTGGAGCTGGTCCCTGACGTGGTCTTGCAAGGACTTGGACTCAGTGAACACCTTTGCACCTCCCTGCTCCAGTCTCAGCTTCCCAGGAATATGAAGGACCAAGGCATCAAAGTGGGATCATCATTCAGTGCTTCTCATAAAATCTGCCCTTTGACAAAGTACTTGCACGTGTGTTATTCATTAAGCACTCACAACAACCCTGTGGGAAAGATAATACCCCATTTTTCAGGTGACAAAACTAAAGCCAGAGAGATGAGAGGTTATAAGTAGTATGAGGCAGGGTCTAGCCTGGAACACTTCCCAAGTCCAGTCCAACCACCACCACCAATACCCCTACAGATTTCAAGTCCACTGGATTGTCCCCAAGCCAAGTTGATTCTTCTCTGCAAATTGGGGGTGGTATTATACAATGCCCAGATTACCATGTCCAGCTAATTCTGGAAGTGGGAAGAGAGAAGCCACAAAGGAGAAGGAGTGTGCGTCCTCAGTCTATGCCAAGAGAGTTGGGGAAGTGGGAGGAATTCTTGGCAGCCCCTTCCCACTGTGCCTACAATGAGCAGCACTTCGGGCCAGGGACCCGGCTCACGGTGCTAGGTAAGACTGGCTCCTCCAGGTGGGAGGGAGGGTGGGCTGCTCAGCCTGGACGACCCCCTGAACCCTGGTCCTCGGGAAGCGGGCGCTGGACCCTCCTGGGCCCCTAAGTCGGAGAAGGCGCGGTTTGCTCCTGGGTCCCCAGGGCTGTGCAAACACCGGGCAGCTGTTCTTTGGGGACGGTTCCAAGCTGACCGTGCTAGGTAAGGAGGGCAGCAGGGAGTCCGAGGGCGTCCGTGGGGCGGGATGGAGAGGGGTGGGCAGCTGCCCAGCTCCATTTGGGGCAGTACTCAGAGGCGGGGCTCGGCGCCTGGGCCAGGGACTCCGGGTTCTGGGTGCTGGGTGCGCGATGGAGCGCTCCGGGTTGGCGGGGACCTGGGCTGAGTCCAGGGCAGCTCCGGGTTTTTGTCCTGGGGCTCGGGGCTGTGAGCACAGATACTCAGTATTTCGGCGGGGGCACCAGGCTGACCGTGCTAGGTAAGCTCGGCGCCCGCGGAGCGGGGAGCAGCAGTGGGGGCGCTCCGGGACGCCAGGGGGGTAGCGGGGCCCCTTTTTGTGCTGCGCTCGGGGGCTGTGAGCCAAAACCCTCAGTACTTCGGCCCAGGTACCCGGCTGTCGGTGCTAGGTAAGCGAGGACGCCAAGAAGGGACGCGCGACAGGTTTTTGTGCGGGGCTCGGGGGCTGTGAACTCACAGACGCAGTACTTTGGACCCGGGACGCGGCTGCTGGTGCTGGGTGAGCGCGGCGGCGCGGCGGGGCTGGAGCGGGCGGGTGGCGGGCCAGGTTTTTGGGAGGAGCCCCAGGGCTGTGTTTTCCAGCGCTGTCCTGACTTTTGGGGCCGGCAGCCGGCTGACCGTTTTGGGTGAGCAGCCGCGGGACCAGCAGTCCCGGCGGCGGGGTCAGCAGGGAAGGCGGCGGGACCCAGGGCTGTTCCCAGTCTCGGCATTTGGTCGCCTCCCGTGCGCTGGGACCGGGCTGGGACCCGGGGGCTGGAGGCGGCTGGGGCGCAACGGGGTTTGCGTGTGGGGCTGGGTCTCTGTGCTCCTACGAGCAGTACTTCGGCCCCGGCACCAAGCTCACGGTCATAGGTAAGATTTGGACGGCTTTCCGCCTTCCAGCCCCAGCCCCTGGGTCCCCGGAGAAGGGTGGGGTGGGCTGGAGCCGGGCGGCGCGAGGTGTCCATCTGTGGGGCCAGCTCTGCAAGTGGGGGCGGAGGGGATGAGGTACTCACAGTCGGGGAACACCTGCTGAGGGCGAGGGAGGTTTTGGTCCCTTTTTTTCCTGAAGTATTTGGGGACTGGGTGAGCGATGGAGAAGGAGAGGATTTAGTAGGACACTGAGAGCTGCCAGATTGGACAAAAAGCCTGAGGAGGAAAAACCTGGGCCGGGAGAAGTGTAGGCGAGGGTGTAGCTGCTACATGGGGGGAAAAGGAGAGCAGCAGGAAAAAGCGGCGAGGAGCACGGGCGGCGGGCGCCCAGCTGAGCCAGCGGGCTCCTGGAAGGTGTAGACGGAGGGAGCGTTCAGCAGAGGAGACAAAAGATTACAAACTAGAGTGGACTAGAGACGCCAGAAAGACGGACAGATAAACGTGTCAGTGAGAAAAGGAATCAAAACACGCCTGGGTTTGTTGATTTACTGTTTACAATGTGTGGATTTAAAATTGGATTTAAAACTCCTGCCTCACTCTTCCTAAACCTCAGACCCCTGAGGGCCAGGGCTGTGTGTACAGCATTCGTTCCTGCAGTGGGCTGGATGGGGACCTCAGCCACTGGGGTGCACTCACCCCCAATGTACCCCCTCCACCCAGCCTGAAATCTGCCCTCACACTCAGTATTCTAGGTTAAACAGCCTAGATGGTGCAGGAAGTTCCTGTGTCACAAACACATATTAAAATGCAGATATTTTGCTGTGAGGTGAGGAAAATTCCCAGGAGGCTCTTAGAGCTGAAAAGGGACCTTAAATGTCACCTGGTGATGAGAACATGGAGGCCAGGGAAGGGAAGTAACTCACAATACCAGTGTCTTAACTTGGATTATTTGATAACAACAAGCACTGTTTGTAGTTAGACTCATTAAACTGGAGCCAACCGGGCTCAGCTAACGTGTGCCCCCAGGAAACGCTGGGTTCCTGTGATCATCTTGGGGCGGGGGAAAGGCTGAGGCTTCAGGACCAGATAAACCTGGATCCCAATACCTGGCTCTCTAATGATGGGTGACCTTGAATAGGTGACTCTGTGTGGACCTCCCTACCATTAACAGTACCTTCCACTTAATATTGCTGTGAGGGTTACAAGAGAAGCAACATGTAGAGTATCTAGCAAATGGTGGATTGTTGTAATTCAATACTTCCCTTCCCCACCCATCCCCCAAGTGGGCACTGGGGAGGGAGGCGAAGGGGGAAGCCCAGTGCCAAGAGAGGGGCAGGGTTTGGCTTGTGGACAATGGAGGGCTGGGTATGTGTGAGAGGTAGGCTGGGAACAGGAAAGATGAGCTTCACAATTCTGCCTGAGGTGAGTCCAACCCACAAGCAAAGCCTAAGCAAACAGAAGCTCACTAGCACACACACTTACACTCACATAGGCAAGCCCCCCCATACCCCAAAGGGACTCGCAAACACGGAGGGGGAACTGACCCTGTCCTCATTGTGAGGCCGTATAGACAGTGGTTCAGGGTGTAATGAAGGTTTGGCTTCTGTTTGTCCTGCCCATTGCATCAATAAACATCGTGGGGAGCCTCACACATGGCTCAAAGGACATCTTTAATTTTTACAATAAGGACTGAGGGTTTGCTGTGAGGGGGTCAGAGGAGTGCATTCTGTGGTCCCCCTGGAGGGCTGGTAGGATCCCAGAGGCAGGGTCTTGGAGGCAGCGAGTGTAATAACCAGGCTGAGAGCAGAAAGACTGATGGAGCCAGCACTGCAGATATGAGTTAGGATATTACCATCTGGGGTCGGGTCAGCCAGTAAAGACCTAAGGATGTGGTAGAAATTAGCAAGGCAGGAGTTTCGGGTAGGGAAGCTGACGTGATGGGAGGCAGGACCAGCTCAAAATGAAAATGCAGGGGCTCTTGTTAAAAAGTTACTTAGAATTTCAAAAAGGTGACAGCAGCCATTAAACCAAGCACAGGCCCTTCTAAGTGTGGGGTCCCGTGTGACTGCACAGGTCACATACTCATGAAGCCAGCCCTGGAAGTTAGGTCACATCCACGGGAATGTGAAGCATCAGTTAGAAGAGCATTTTCTCCATCTTGCAAACTAAACCAGATTCTCATAAGAGTGCGATTTCTTAATTTTAACAGAATTGCTCGGAAACAACAACAACAAAAATCAATGGAAAGCAAAGAACAGGGTAAAGTGAATGGAGAGCAGGCCCAGAAGAAATGAAGCAGTTGGATGAGAAGGCTGCATGGGCTTTAATGGCAATGCCTTCCCTGAGGCTCCTAAGACTGCACAGAGGAGAGGCTTAGACAAAATAGTATCAAGACAACTAGCAGCAAGAAGTTGCTCTGATGATCAGAGATACTTGTTTAGGAAGCTTGCTTGTAGGGAAAATGATACCATTTGGAAGCAGAAGAGCAAAGAAGGTTGAAGAATCCCTGAATTTGAAATAAGGGGAGATTGCAATCTGTTTGAGCTGAGGAAACTCAGGGGGTACCTGGAGGCAGGGGAATGGCTAGGATGACTCATGAACCAAAAAAATTCAGAAACCTCACATTCTCACGAGCACACCATAATATAATAGGATGCCCTCACATAGGTGTGCAAAAAGATGTGATCTGTATATTGTCAACTGAAGCCCCAGCCGGAAAATGACCCCTTTTTCCCCAATTTCCCTTTACCCTCCAGCCCCTCAGATTCAGACACAAATAACTTAGCTGAGGACGTAGGTTTTCTGAGTCCTATGTCATTTAATCTCCAGACCTACTCTGGAAAGTCAGTGTGATTCTCCCTTCACAAACAGGAAAAATGATGGAGATATATTAAGAGATGGTCCTAAAGTCACCTTGGTGGCCAAAGTCATTCTCAGATTTGGATCTTGTTCCTCTGATTTCAATCCAGTGCTCCATTTCAATAACTAGTACATAATATGGTGAGAAGTAGACAGATAAGTTTTCATTGATGGAGAAGAAATCAAATAATGTCAACGAAGGGACATTACTCAGAATGTTAGGCAGTGTCATTCCTAATGCCACTGTGGGATGGAGAGACAGTAGACAGTGCTGTCCATAGGGTGAATACAGAGGACAGGCAGGCAGAGGGAGAACAATCACAGAGGATGGGACGGTGACCCTGAAATGAACAGGACCTACTACTACATAATTTTGCTTCGTCATGACCCCTTTCCCGCCCTTCCTTCTCTCACACACACATGCAGAGCCCCTACCAAACCCAGACAGCTCTCAGACCAGCCCTGCTCCCAATCTCTCTTCCCTTCCAGAGGACCTGAAGGAGGTGTTCCCACCCAAGGTGACTGTGTTTGAACCATCGGAAGCAGAGATCAGCCGGACCGAGAAGGCCACGCTCGTGTGCCTGGCCACAGACTTCTACCCTGACCACGTGGAGCTGAGCTGGTGGGTGAACGGGAAGGAGGTCCAGACTGGGGTCAGCACAGACCCTCAGCCCTACAAGGAGCAGCCCACCCAGAAAAACTCCAACTACTCTCTGAGCAGCCGGCTGAGGGTCTCTGCTGCCTTCTGGCACAACCCCCGCAACCACTTCCGCTGCCAAGTCCAGTTCTTCGGGCTCACGGACGGGGACAACTGGACACTGACTAGGGCCAAACCCATCACCCAGAACATCAGTGCTGAGGCCTCGGGCAGAGCAGGCAAGTGGGGCCTGGGAGGGTTAGGCAAGGAGTGAGTCAGACCAGAGAGAATGGGAGAGATCCAGGTCAAAGACCAGAAGGACTAGATACACAAAAAAGGGGTGGGGGTGGGAAGACTAAAGCCCAACATGAAGGAGAACAGGGCACCTCGGGCTAGTTCCTCCCCTAGATCCTCAGCCCAACATGGCTGTGCTCATGGGGCCCCTCACTACCGTCCTCCCATCCCTTCACTGGTCCTAGTTGCCTAAGAAGAGGCCCCTGACATTGGAGCAACATGAGGAAGACAGCTCCAGGGCTGTCCGAGGAGGCTGACTGCATCGTCTGACTTCTATGTGTTTGTGACCTATGAGTCTATGACTTCAAAGGCTATGACTTAAGGCTCAGTCTCTTTAAGTAGTGGCATTCCCTACTCATCCATTTTCTCCCCTTTCTTTCTTTCAGAATGTGGCGTCAGCTCAGGTAAGAGACCCTCTTCTTTTTTATCTCCATTTCCTGTGGTCTGTGCTCCGGAACCAGAGAATGGGGAACCCATGGACCCTGGGGGAAGGGAATGGTAAGGCCAGAGATATCTGCTCACAGGTACCTACCTGGTCTCCCTTCCCACCAACAGTGTCCTATCAGCAAGGGGTCCTGTCTGCCACCATCCTCTATGAGATCCTGCTGGGGAAGGCCACCCTGTATGCTGTGCTGGTCAGTGCCCTCGTGCTGATGGCCAGGGTAAGGAGAAGGTCAGGGTGGGCAGGTTATTGGAGGGAGAGGGTGGAACATCATACAAGGGATATCTGGGGATCTCAGAGCCTGACCTCAGCCCTGATATGGCCTACTCTGTCAAAGAAAGTACAATGGGACTGCCAGACTGGGGAGAAAGTACAGGGATCATTACAGAATGCAGCCTCGGAGGGTGGGGAGAATCAACCAGCCCTACCCAAATCAATCCCGAGAGTCAGGCTCCTCTGACCCACTCCTACTGTTCCACGGCTGCCAGGACTCTGACAGTGTCCTCTCTTCCTCAGGTCAAGAAAAAGGATTCCTGAGACCAGCTCTAAAAGTGCATTCTGGATCATTTTTAATCTTCACCCTAGAGTCTCCTTTACATGCTTCCAATCCCTGTTCCTAAGGAGCTATTCTCTCTCTACCTTTCATCTCCTTCCTACATGTCTGTCCCTTCTCTCTGCTTCCCTGCAGATTGAGCTCCTTAATGCTGAATCTGAAATAGACTAAATTAATAAAAATGTCATGCTGGATCTAGTTGTGTCTCAGGAGTGTCTATGGAGCTCTGCCCTTCAAAGACCTACCTTCTGATTTGGAGAAAGCACCACCCCTCAAGCATATGGAGTGACTGACCCTCCTCTCTGACCAATGTTGCTTCCTCCTGTTCATCCTGATGGAGGATAGACCCCGTGATCCATACCCAAGAATTTGGGGTCCCCAGTGTCTAGGGTTAGTCTAAAGGGCAAGGAGCTGGGTTCTGGAAAGCTGCATAAGGATGAGCACAGGCGAACCATAGCCCCCACCTCAGCTCGGGACAGAGGACAGGGCAGACCTGTGGGTTAGAATGCCTGGTCATTTCTCAATTCGAGATTCAAGTTTAATTTATTATGCATTTAGATGTTATCTGTATCTGTTCTTAACATCTCCATCTTATCTTGATTTGGGATTTCGACATAAGATTTAGTTCTGCTCTGCATATCTAGGTTAGAATCCTAAAGAAGGCACCGAGTTGAAACTATTGATATGTGAAGCCTAGAGATTCCACAGAGGTCCAGGGGAAAAATGGGAAGGAAGCAGGGTCCAGTAGGGGCTGAGGTGCTACACCGAGTAGCCCTTCCAACAGGCACCTTCACTAGGGATGGAGAGGAGGCCATCCCAAATGCAGCATGTTAAGTGCATCCACTTGGGCGGAGACAGTTATCTCACTAGGGTAAACTCTACACGCAGGTTGCATTCACTGCGGTAGAACACTGCACTAGGGGAGGGGAGGGATGCAATTAGAGGACAGAAGGCATAGACCAGTGAGAGAAACCATGTGCAAGGTACTTGAGACCTAATGTCAGGGGTGAGAAGGAAGTCTGAAAGCCAAGCAGGCAGGGGGAAGCTGGAGCCCCTTATTGATAGCCTGCTCTGTTCCAGACTTTGGGCTGCGCACTGGCACACATGTTGTCCCACTTAGTCCCCACAATGACCCTAGAAGCAGGTATTATTCTCCTTACTTTATAGTTGAAGAAGCCACAGTTCATAGATCAAATGACTGGTAAGCTGTGAAACTGTGGCACGTTATCCTGAAGATGGCAATTCAAGAAGCTTTTCCCAAGTAGTGGCCAGAATGGTGTGATTGTCACGAAATGAACCTGGAACAGCTGCTTCCAAACTCCAGTGGAGGACCCACAGTAGCAGACTGAAGAGACCTTGATTCCTGTGTGTATTTGTCTCCTAACACTGCCATAACAAAGAACCACAAACTTGATGGCTTAGACGATACAAATGTATTCTCTCACAGTTCGAGGCCAGAAGTCCAAGATCAAGGTGTGGGTAGGGCCACCCTCCCTTCAAAAGCTCTAGGGGAGAATCTTTTCTTGTTTCTTCCCATTTCTGGTGCTCCTGGCATTCCTTGGCTTGGAGCAGCATCGCTCCAACCTTATGCCTGTCTTCACATAGCCTTCTGCTCCTGTCTCTGCGTCTCTGAGGATTTTCCTCTCCTTTTTCTTATCAAGACATGAGTCATTGGAGTTAGGACACACCCTGAATTCAGAAAGATTTCATCCCGAGATCCTTAACATTTACATCTACAAAGAACTTATTTACGAATTCGGTCACATTCTGATATTCTATATGGGCATGAATTTTGAGGAGACATTATTCATCCAGTGGGACACAGAGTGTCCAGGAACCGGAGATGAGGGAGCTTTCTAGACCAGCTCACACAGCCAGGAAAGGACATGGCCCAGGGCAGGCGTGGCCCAGGAAACTCATCACTTGTCTGTAACTTCCCATCAGCTGTAGTTATGTCTAGACTTATCAAACTGCAGTAGAGTTTTTAAAGTATTTTTGTTTATTTGTTTTTATAATGGCTAAAAAACCCAAAACAAAGGAGACAGAGTTTAGGCCCTAGACCAGCACCCACAGAAGCAGTGCCTCTCGTTTTTTAGACATGGTATCTCATCACAAGGCTGGGATGGGGAGATGGGCAGCTGAAGGGAAAAGTAAATGTCTCAGAGAGAACAGGGCTTAGGCAGGCTAGAGGGTGTAGACTGGAACAGGATGTTGGAGGACAGGGGTCTGTGCAAGCAGAGCTGTGAGGAGAGAGCTGAGCAGCTGTAGGACAAAGATCAAGGTGGAGGTGGTGAGAGGAGGGTTACCCTCATGGAAGAGAAATGGGGTCTGCGGGTTTGGTGACTGCAACCATGGGGATGCTGAAAGCAAAGGCATTAGCAGGTGGGAGGATGTGGGAAGACTGCTAGTCGGCACCTGGGGTTTGTCAAGGTGAGGAACAAAGGAACATCCTCTGGAGGATAAACGATTTGGTGCACTTCACCCTCTCACTCCAGGAGATATAATAGAGATGGAGAAGCTTACAAACTCCATTTGGTCCACACCCAACACCCCGCTTGACCCAGGGAGGGCCCTTCTTCCCAAATCTTTATAGCCGTTTCCTTGTCTCTCTCAGACACCACCACCTCCAACATTCAACTCACAGGCACTTCTGCCCTTCCCTTTTCCTCTAGAATCTAAGTAGATTCTTCTGGACCAGTTCTGGGCATCCCATCCATTCTTCTTCAGGTGAAACTGAGCAAAAGCGGGTTAGATGGAGGGCAATCATATCATTTACTATACATATGGGGATACCATTGAGAGTGAAAGATGGGATGCTGGGATGAGAGGAGTAAACCAGGATGGTCCCGGCACACCAGGACACACGGTCACTCCAGTTAAAGGGGCCCTGAGGGAGTTTCTGGGTCCAGAGTTATTCTTGGAATGGGAATCACCGAAGCAATTCCTCATTGACCTGGGCCTATCGACCTCATCCAATCTCAAGGCTTATCTAAGCTTCATCCCAGTAAGGAAATCTGTGGGCAGAATGTATTCCGGGGGGCAAACTCCACTAGTGACACCCAGTCAAGGGGCAAAGCATGCTTGCTGATTGAAGAGAACTTAGAAGCCAATCTCTCTAGAAGAATGTCCATAGGCCCTTGAGTTCTCACCATTCCACGGGGCAAGGCTGGACTCCCCATGGGTAGCACTCCAGGAGAGGAGACTCAACCCTGTGCCCTTTAGACATTTATTCTGAAACTAGGAGGGGAAAGGACGCATCCAACCAGTCATGGGAACATGACTGGTGGAAGAACAGGATTCCTGTGGGGAAGGACTGTTCAAGTCACTGCCACTTGCCCAGAAGAAGAATTCTCCTATTAGCCCAATATCCACTAGAGACCTTAAACCCTTCCTACTGCACAGCTCATGGTCAGGCTACATAAGGTTGGGCAGTGGGGCTTGTGGGGTAGAGGAGGTTGGGACCATCCAAGAGACAAAGACTTTTTCTCTCTTAAGTAAGTGATTAGGGAAGAGTAGTGGAGAGAAAAAAGAAAAAAGGATTTTTCAACAAGAGAGGTTGGGATAAGAGGAATGGATCCTGATGGATACTAACATCTTCATTTTCTGCCCTGAGCCATATCTCGATTTTTCTTCTTCCATAGTGACCCAGAGAGGGAGAGCCTGACTGACATCAGCCCCTAACAGTCTATGTGACACACAGCCCCAAATGTCCCATAGGGAGGAGCTCCATGAGGTCGATCTGCTCAGGGAAAGATGTGGAAATGGAGGGTTGGTACTTGAGACCTCTCTTGAAGCTATATGTGTCCAACAAAAACACACTCATATCTAGATGTATTCCATTTAGGGGTGTTAGGGGATGCTTATGGAAATCACAGGAACGATTCAAAACCCCAGGTCAGTTCTTAGCATCGCCACTGACCTATGGATGTATCTGTCACCTGCAACCCCACTGACCTCTTCCTAAACTTTCATCACCAATTTCCCTTTTACCATGTCCACGGAAATGACCCTTTGCCCACATAAGAAGACCCACAGTAGAGAAGGCCACCAAGCCTGGGCAACAATTTTAATCACAGTTCATTCTTGTTACTTGTAGCAGACCCCCACAGTTTCCAGAAAGGTGATTTCTGGGCCTTGAGACCCCATGGAGTGAGACGTTACCCACTCCATCTGGGCCCTGAACTCAAAGCATTCCCTGCCTCAGTCTAGGTTTGGATATCCTCCCCTGACATCTTGGTCACTTTCTTTTCTTGAACTACATTTGTAAATCTGGAGTCCCCGGGTTCTTAAAACACCCTACCACTCTGCCGTCCTTAGGATTTGTTGTGACAGTACGTGGTCATGCCCTGAATCATCTCTCTCCAAGAGACAACATATTCTCTGCTCACCACACCCCTCTCCTACAGTCCTAACTACATGTCTTTCTCCTCCATCTTCATCCATTGTCTTTATGTCTATTGCACTTGGACTCCTAGAAGGACTCGTTGGACAAAATGGGGTCCCAGAGATGAGTGAATGGATCTATATGTCAGCAAAAAGACCCTGAAAATGAGCCCACAACTGTGACTATTTCCACAGAAGTTTCATCGGCCTGTATAACTTATCTCAGCTGTCTTCTGTGAGTATGAGAGATGGTCTTGACAAGAAGACCGCATTCCAGGGCTTCCTGTGGACCCAGCCCCCTACCACATCCTGACCAGACTTGCTGACATAAGGAAGTGGGTTTTAAAATAGTGACTTGATGGTGATCCTGGGCGTGACCCCTCCTGCCCAAGTTCTAGGCCACTCTGGCAATTACAATTCAGCCCTCTGCACCCTCGCTCCCACGGTGGGACTTGGTCTTGACTGGATCTTGGAATCATAGACACTCTGGGTGATAAAGAAGCGTAATATGCAGAGTCTTGAATTCCCCTCAGCTATGTTTGACCTGTCCTCGGACAGAGAATGGTCGACTTGTCTGGATAGGCCAATTCGTCACTGGACAGCTCTATAAAGAATTTTGTCCTATATAGGTACCCATAAATCTCATTGTAGTGCCCTTATTGGTCATAATTATACTCCTATGGCACTCCTAAAATAGCTAGCATGCCCACCTCCAGCCAAGAGTCCACAAATCTATGAGAAACAGAATAAGCAGAACCTTTAAAAGGTTGAGTTTGCAGAATGGAAAAAGCATGTGGTAGATAGAGGAGAACATATGATAACAAAGAGTAGGGGCTTTAAAGCCAAAGAGACCTAGGTTCAAGCCTTAGATCTTCCACTTATCAGCTGTGACCTTGGGCAAGCAACCACCTCTGAGGCTCAGCTTTCCTTCCTATAAATGGGCTCAATCACAACCCCGACTTCATAAGGCGGTTTCATCTTATTTAATTCACACAACACTAGCCTAAAGATTTTTTTTTCAGGCTAGACATCTCCAGTTCTCTCAATTTTTGTCTCATATGGCACAGTGCTGTGCACTTCCTACTCTCCACAGCCAAGCCACTGGCTTCTAAAACTTTTACATTTGTTTTTACTCTTCGACCTTTCCAGAGTGTGGGGTTCAGAAAGGGACACAGCACCGGTGGGTTTTGGCCTACACAGGGGAAGGAGGGAGCTTTAGCTCCTCATTCTCAATATTTTCTGTGTTGATTCCATTGGGGCAACTTCTCACCGTCTGTCCCCACATCACCCCACTGACTCACAGAGCTCACTTTTGACTCAGATCCTGGCTCTTTTTCACACACACAGCCTGTGAGCCACCATCCCCTGCCTGGGTTCAGACAGTTGGTTTTCTCTCTTTTTTTTGGTGAAGGGGGCAGGGAGTGCTTGTTTAATTTTATCATATTTCTTCAGCTCATGTCTCAAACTTATCTAGTTTCTGCAGGATTCTAATTCTGTGGCTCATCATATTTACCCCTCCATCCTCACACCACCTCAGATATGATCTTTTGCCTTGTTTATTCTCATACAAGTGGTTCGTAAAATTCAGAGCAAGATCACAGCTCAACCTAAAGCCCACGTTCCCCTAAGCTTGGTCTGAGATCCAGGAGCTGCTAAAACACAGAGAATTAGCTTCTGGTCCTCCTCTGTCTGCAGCTGCACTGCCCTGGACAACTCGTTCTTCTTCTCTGGGCTTCTATATCCTCCTCTGTGAAGTAAAGAGGTTGGGTAAAGTGATGTCTAAGGAATCTTCAAGCTCTGCTCTTTAGATTCAGTGATTCAAAGTCTGCAGGCCCCAAATCACCAGGAGGAAGGTAACTTGGGGAATCTAAGCTCTTCCCAGAAGCAAATCATTCACATCTGTGACATAGCCTCAGAGGGTGGTGATGGTGTACCGGGGACGATGGTGACCCTGGAATCTCACAGTTAACAAGAGGCACCTGGAGCCCTGACACCTGTTCCCTGGTCCTCCTCCAGGAAAGATGTCCAGAGCCATGAATGAGGAGAAGAAAATAGTGTTTAAAGGAGAGTGGCCTTGAATTAAAGGCCAGGAAGTGAAGAGATGCAGGTTGGGGTCTTTTAGGAGACAGCTGGGGAAGGGATGAGGGTGTCTGAACCCAGTGCTGGCTGCTGGGCTGTTTATCTCTGAGTAACATCAGCACAAGTAACAACAGCCACCCACCTGTCCCTAGCACCAGCTCAGGGACTCACAACAGGATGTGGTTTGACATTTACCAGGTCCTGCATCTGGGGTGCCTGTGAAAGTCCCTCCCATGCCCATCTTCTGAGCACCTCAAGAACCACGCTCACCACATCCTGCTCCCACCCCTTTGCATGCTGTTTTTTCTACCTGGGCCTCCAGTGAGCACCCTGGAGGTAGAAATAGCACTACAGAGGGGAGAAGGGGTTCTCTAGAGGGGATCTGGGCACTGCAACTCCACGTGCAGACCACCTCACCCGCCCAACATAACTCTACACCTGCTGGAGGTTATGCCCAAGATCAGAGGCTGCACGGGCTCCTTGGAGACAGTGAAGAACGAAAAACAGCGGCAATAACTGCTCTGACTCAATTGGGGTCCCTTCTGGCACCACAACACTCAGGCAACTCCCTCCTCCCACCTCCTTCCACCCCCTCCCACTTCCCTCCACTCATCTAATGAGAGGCACTAATGAGTCACAGGAAAGGGAGCCCCAGATAATCAACAGACTGAAAAACGGACAGTCCCTGGATATGGGAGCTGGCGTGTGTGTGCCATACTGACGGGGTTTCGCTAAGTGTCATCGCCTGCTGCTAAGGCCAGTGAGGTCTGTGGGATGGACATTTTCTGTCCCATCTGGGTAAGGGGGGTGCGGGGAACATAATGCAGGAGAGAATGGAAAAGCAAGGAGACAGAACACCCCAAAGGAGGGAGCAGGAAATAAGAAAATAGAGATCAGGTCACGCCTGCTTTACAGGAGCTCAAAGGGCTGCAGCACACTCAACCAGAGTACGTAATCCCAGTCAAGCTATGAAGCAGCCCAATTTTTGTGTCATCAGCTTCCCAACCCTGGGCATTCCCCCATCTTCTTCAAGCTATCTACAGGCCCCAAGGTCTCTCCCTATAAATCCCATGAGTGTCTGAGATCCAGGCGAGACACTCAGGGGAGTTCCTCTAGCCACCAGCACATGGCCCTGGACCTTGCACGTTCCAGTAGCCGGGGAATGACATGTATGAGAATAGTAGGCATACCTACAAAGTCAGAACCAAGAACGGGGTCCTGGAAGCTCTCTAGAAAAGAGACAGCCTCATCTACCCGAAGGGGCAGGTGAGATTGGTGAATTCCTGGCAAGAGATAGCATATCTGAGCAGCATCTGCCATTCTGAGCTGGTTTCCTTTGTCTCCTGAAATTATGATGATTGTAGATTTTTGAGTCCTAGACACTATGGAAACAGTTATGAGACTAGGATTCTTATTCACGAATAGGGCAGATAACATGGAGGATATTAACTTGTTTTGATGAATTTAGATGGCTTTCAAGCCACTCCTTACCTATCAATGTCTCCTGTCTCTATCGCCCTGTGCAACGATCAGGACTGTTTACTTACTGCTTTTCTGGAACTTGCAACGTTCACTGAGACCTCCACATTTCTACTGAAACTGACTGCCCTGCTGAGAATATCATTTTGCTTACCTAAATACTAGCCTCCCAAAAAACTAAATCTTGCTAAAATTCTATCTCCTTCGTGAAGTTTTCCAGAACTTTTCTGAATTCTCTACAAGAATGAAAAGTCTGTTTTAACTCTCCTACCATCTCCACTTGAACAATAGTGATTACTGGAACACCTCTCTGTTAAGAAGGATTCTGAGGCTGCATAAAACCCCAAAGGAAAAGACCAATGATCAATAATTGAATGGGCAAAACATAGGATGCTCATTTCATGGGTTTGCCATCCAAGCATATTTAGCATTTTAAAATATTTACTACATAGTTTAAAATCTAATTTTTTAAAAAATAAGTCTTTCTTTTGGGTAAGTTGTAATCAAAATATCTTATAAACTTAAAGAGAGGAAAATAATATCCATCTGTTGAAAATTAGATCCCGTAATAGGTTTATATGTTTATAACATAAACACCATTTCATGTAATACACTTAACAATCTAATAAGAGAAGTTTGACAAGTGAGGAAAATGAGACCTAGAGAGATTAGACAATTAGCCCAAGGTCATAACAATCAGCAAATTTAGACTCAAAAACCAAGTGCCTTAAAAATACAGAGACAGTAAAAAGAACAGTGGTCTTGCAGCATTTCCAGGCAAAGAGGAGAGAGATGAAGAGGTGAAGCACAGGGGAATTATAGGCAGTGAAACTACTCTGCATGACACTATGCATGACTCAAATATGTTGAATATGTGGCATATTTTTCCAAAATCATAGAAATGTACAACAGAGTAAATCTTAATGTAAGCCACAGACTTTAGTTAATAATAATATACCAATACTGGTTCATTAATAGTAACAAACGTACCACACCAATGTAAGATGTTAATAATAGGGGAGATGGGGAGAGGAAAGGGACATTTATGAGAACTTTCTCTATTATCCACTCAATTTTTATGTTAATCTCAAACTGTTCTAAATACCAAAGTCTATTAACTAAAAATAATCTGACAGCACTGTTTCAGGGAGGGATCTATTTCCACTAATGTTCAATAATCAGCTAATATCCAAACATTAGCTTGAGATATTGTTTGCTATTAAATGTGAACCAAACTTGAGTTGTAAATGCATTTTTACTTCTATGGTAGTAGCACCGCCGATTGACTTAGTAAACTAAAATTTTCACAAATGGAAAAAATAGTGAACCAAGTGCCTTCGTTAAACCATGCTGTGACCATGCCCAGCACCATTTTGAATGTATTTCATTTTTCCTTTTAATCTCTGTGATGGCTCAGAGTGCCCAGCATGTAAGAGCTGTTTAATACATAGTTGATCCTTAAGGTACGATAAGGATCCGTGGGCATTATTAAATACTGTCTTGATCACTTTGTGTCTCTGTCTCAGATTTTCCTCTCTAGATTAAATGATACTGAAAACAAATATGTCTGAATTGTCCTAGATGAAGTGATGCCAGGAACAGAGTATTTTAAGACTTCTTGTGCCCCCTCGTGGAGCAGAAGGGCCTTTAGAAAAGAAAACCCTTTTAGAGTAAGGAGGAGGAGGGAGGGGGGAATGCAGGAGGGATGAGGAAGGGAGCTCGGTTGCCAAGGTAACCATGGCATCTCTTCCCAGCCATCCCCATAAGACTTTTCCTCTCTTTCTTTCCCATTCAAATAATTTCTCTGTTTTAGGGTTTTACCATTACACATGCGTGCCTTCTTCTTCACCCGGTCTTTTGTATCTCTTTGATCACCATGTGTTTCTCTGCTCTCTCTTTTGCTGCAAGGAAAGGGATGAGAGACAGTGGAACAGGAATAAAAAAAACCTAAAACCCAAAACAATAATCAAAATCCCTAAGTGCACACTTCTAGCCCACACGAGAACAGTCTACTGAACACCATGCCCTTCCCTGACTCAAAGCCTCATCCAAGCCTCCACAAGATGTCTAGTCTCCACAGAAATATCAAGGAAAGGAGACTCTCCAGGTGATGAGAATCAACCAGTTAAGCCACCTGAGTTGGCATCCTCACATTTGTCCACCAGTCCACCACCATACCACCTCCACTACAGGTGTATCCTACCTTGCTCACCCGCATATGCACAAACCTACTCTCCAGCATAGACAAACAGGAATTTGGAGAATAGAGTGTTAGGTAAGGTATAGCACACCTTGAGGGCTGGGGTGTGATAGCCAAGGACTAGACATCCATATGTTGGGAACTTGACGAGAGGTACACAATTCACAGGTTCTGTACACATAAATCATTTTGTTCTCCCTAACAACTTAGTAAAGTTCTTTTGGAGAATCTAGCTTCATTCAGTTGCTCTCACATTGGCTGACAGTCAGAAACCCAGTGACAAATATCCTCCACCCAGTCCCTGAGTGAGGGCTCCCAGAGAAGGTGGTGAGGACTCAGGAGAGGGTGGGGTTTTTGCACAGATGTCTGCCCCACCCAGACCAGTGTGAGACTCCAGGCACAGAGGTAGAAGCCAGAGTCATTAAGGAGGAGCTTCTTAGAAGTCAGGACAAACTGGTCGTCCTGGGTCCCGGAGGCTGCGAAGTTCTGGAGTGCCTTTGGCTCTATCTGGTTAATGCCAAAGGAGTAGAAGAGTAGCTGGAGGGCACCCCCTGCAGCTTGCCGGTACCAGTATAGGGTGGGGTTAGATGTCCCCTTCACGGTGCACTCCAGGGAAAGTGGGCTGTCCACAAGCTGCATCTTGGTAGGTGGCCATTGATGGATGGTCTGAGTTCTGACACCTGTGGGAAGCGTAAAAGGCCATTTAGAGAGGAAGAACCCTAGCCCAGCTTGCCTTCCATCCTGTCAGAGGGGTGGACCAAGCCCTTCCATGGCTCAGGCATATGGGATCAATCACAAGGAGTAAATGTGGAGGGCCAAAGGTACAGAGGGTCACTGGACAAGAGGGGACCAAGAGAGCAAACTCCTTCCCTGGGGACAGAGAAAACCAAGACTCAGTATACTGGCCACTAAGATAGAAGTCCCATATCCATTCCAGACTATTGGAGGAAGGCACTAAAGAAAGCCAAACCAACAGCTGAGGCTCTAGATTCATAGGGTTGGGGTGAGGATGAGGACTTCAGGGGAGGACCTACCCAAGAAAGTGCCCAGGAGAAGGGCAAGGAGACAGCAGAGCATAGTTCAAGCCAGCCTTCAGTTTAGTTAGTGTGGCTGACACTTCATCTGGGCCAGAGAGGTGGCCAGGCCCCTCCCTCTTGGAAACCTGCTGCCAAGAAGTGGAACAATCATTTCCCCTTAAGCTGGGAAGGAAATGAGGCTGGTCTTTTCTTAAGTGTGTGATGAATCAACCCATCCTCCCTGGGAACCAGCTTTACCTGGCACTAGGCACTAGTTATCTTTATTGAAATCCTGCTGAAGTCCTGGTATGTAAATATATTTAATGACTCATTATTCATCTATAAACAAGAGATGACTCTCTGGCTCCACCAGGAGACCATCAAGAGTCTCTGTCACCATCAGAGAAACTGTGATACTGGCAGAATGATGAAAAGAGATTTTAGTCTATCTGAAGCTGGAAACTAGCTATGGGACATGTCACCTGGGTAGCCAGAAAGGCAATGAAAGCAGATCAAGGCTCAAGAGATTTAGGTCTTCAGGGTATTCAAAGCAAAAAAGCTCAGCTCTGAGGGAAGGAAGCTGCTTTGACAGCCAACCAAGGGATCTGCATGCTCTTCATCCTGGCAGATAGGATCTGAGACCTGGACAGGCAGACTCAACTCCCGAACTCATCAAAGTTGGACTCTGTGTTCCATGTGCCTCTAATGGCTTCACTGGATCTAATTTATCCTCTAAATGCAACAGGAGGTAGAGGAAACATCATGGGGCCTTGGAATCAAATAGATCTGGGTTCTAATCACAGCTCTGCTTCTTGCTGGTTTAGGAACCCTTGACAAACTCTGATCCTCAATTTTCTCATCTGTAAAATTAAAATACGGATTGTAATACCAACAAATGAGGTTTGTAGATGCCTTTGAAAGATGCCTTTTGCTTTGTGCACTGAGTGTTGGCTGTTTTTTGGACTCCAGGGAAAGCCTGTGCCTGCAGCAAAGCGTGGAAGATTTACAATGGGATGGGGTGTAGGGTGAGGGCTGAGGAGACGACAGAGACACAAGAAGCATTCCCAAGCTGTTGATTCATAATAGCTAAGGATGGGAATCTGCTAAACAGCTGGTATAACCTCATTCTGTTGAAATGAGACACAGGACCCCCAGATGCCTGGAGGACAGCCAACGTGTCGCTTGGAACCTTCCCTTCTCTCTGCCTTTGCCATGCTCTGTCCTCTGAAGGATTCATTTTCAAAACTATTATTCAGTTGCAGTTGGATGTGGTAGAGGTTTAAGATGAGTACCTGGGAAAGGCAGTAGACATGGCCTAACAGGGAAAATGAGCCTGAAGTAAATCAGGCATTTGTGACACTTTCCCATTTCATCAGGGCCTAGTGATGTAATATATTTGTTATTGTTGTTGATTCTGCAGTAACATAATTCAAAGTTAACTTTGGGGTTCTTGCTTCTAACAGAGTTTCAGCTGCAGCATATTTTTTTTTTGTTTGCATTTGAATGCACTATATTTGTGGGAGAGTGTTTTGTTTTTTTATCCTTTCCAACTTTAATCAATCCTCCTATAATATTTACTTAAATGATGATAAATCAAGTGGTAAGCATAGTGTGCATTCCATGAACATTTAGAACATATGATGAAAAATAGCAATAGCCAACTAAAGAAGCCAATGATGTTTTACAGTTATTCAATCACAGTTTTTATAAATCTTCTAATAGGACTCAATACATATCTATGCATGTCAGGATTGGAGGGAGTGAGCCCAAGAGGGATACGTGCCCACATGCACACACACAGCCTCTTTTCTGTTTTTCTTTACCTTTCTGCCCTTATTCCTCTTTGCTCCTGGAACTTTATTGAGTTAGTCTTGAGTGGGGATGTGGACAGAGGAGGGTGGACAGAGGGTGGCAGCAGATACAGGGAGAACGGAATTGTTCTTGCTCTTGGGACCATGTCATGCTTGCATTTGCCTGGCAGCCTTTCACACCAGCAAAGGCTGTGTGGGTCCTGCATAACCCATGAGAGCTGATGTAACTCATCAGCTCCATTGGCTCAGTGTCATCACCAAGCACAAAGTCCAATGCCATCTTCTTCCCTAGAGATGGCACAGCAGATTGGAGGGTGAAGAGACATGTCAGTTAGATCAATGTAGCCAGCTGGCTCCTGACTCCCTGATCATTGTCACAACTCAGGAGCTTGGAGCTCCTTCCATATGGCTGATGCCTTAGAAAAATATCTCCTCATTCTCCATACCCATCTGCAATTTTGCTTATTCATTCAATTCATTCAAGTCATTCATATATTGAAATGTGGATGAGGATATGATCCCTCTACTCTGTGGCAGCAGATCTCCAAAAAGGAGGAGCCCAGCCTTATCTATGGCCCAGATGAGGACACGTCAGCCAGACAAGCTGAATTGAAGGATGGCTTGAACTATGCTCTGCTGTCTCCTTACCCTTCTCCGGGGCACTTTCTTAGATGGGTGCCCACCTCTCTAGCAAGCCTCTCCTCAAATTCTTTTCTTACTATGTTGGGTTTCTCTCTTCATACTAGATTCTTAATGAATCACCACTGAAAGCATAAAGCTTTACACATTAGAAGAATGGCAATAAATTTAACTCTTTTCTTTTTAATTTTAAAACTGAAATGTATCCCTAAACAACAGATTTGGAAGATACTTGCAGGGTCCATTTTTTCCTCTACAGAAGAGTTAAAAATTACCTAAGCTGATGTAAAGGGAGGAGAGTCAGCCAAGGAGATGTTTCTGAATTTCCCTGATCTTTGCCCTCTGTGTCCTACCCTCTGCCTGGCTACCTCCTGATCAGGGAAAGAGATGAGAGAGAATGTTCCAGATTTGATAAATAATATCAACCTACAGATCCAAGAAGGTTAGCAAAACCTAAGCAGGATAAGCCTAAAAGAGTTTGGTCAAGAAAGAGATTATTTCCAGTTACGATGCTCAGTGTAACTTTCATGTAAGAGACAGACTGTGAGGCGGCATAGAGTTTTAGGCTGAGAAAAATGAAATAGCAAAAAGCAAGAAAGGAGGAATGGAGTGAGCAAAGGTACAGAGGCAAAAAATGAAGAATAGTAGGAAGATTAGTTTAGGAGGAGTGGAAGATAATGCATGAAGATAAGTTACAGTAAAATTCTCTAAAGCTTAAATATCAATGTATGGGGGAAATTCTATGATAAAGTAACAGGGCTTGGATTTGCCCTCTAATATGAAACAACTAAAATGTACAAAATATATGAAACAGTGGTTTTTAGACATTGGCCAACAAGTGATACAAGACAACGATCCCCGAGAGGAAGTGAAACAAATGAGGTGGCCCTGTGATGGCCCCAGCTTACTGCCCTGAGAGATTTTTCAGGTAGGGAAATAGAGCATGGCTGTCTCTCTAAGTTGGGGACACTTGAGTTCAGAGTTCAAGGAGGCCAAAGTGGCTAAAATTCCAGGACAGAATACCAAGGAGAAGAAAGCTGCAACGAAAAAGAGCTCCAGAATCTGCAGAGGTCTCTCAGTGATTCTTTGGATGTTATGATAAGTACATGCATGTGAAGAAACTACCTTCAGGCAAAGAAGGACCACTAGAAATGAACAGGCAGAAGCATTCCAGAGCTCACAAAGGGCTTGGAATATATGGTGTTTCCACCAGTGGAGAGACCCCCTTAACATACGGGGCATTGAGTAGAATTCTCAGAGGAGTATTGCCTCAGTAGTGGAGGCAAATTAGCTTTAGACTAAAGGCTGTTCTAGACACAAAGCTTCAAAGCAAGAGTTGGAAATATTAAATTATTTCCATAGAATTTAACTGTGTCACAAAAAAAGTCCAGAATTTTTTAAAGGGATACAAATACTCCAGCACCTACAAGCATAAAATTCAAATATCTGACATCCAATAAAAAAATCAGATATGAAAAGAAACAGGAAAATATGGACCATAAAGAGGAGAAAATTACTCAATAGAAACAGATCTAGAAATGATATAGATGATAGAATTAGTAGACAAGGATATAAAAAGACCTGCTGTATATATTCCATATGCTCAACAGGGTGGAGGAGAGTGTACATATGTTAAGAAGAGACATGAAAGATATGAGGAAGACTGAAATAAAACTTCCACAGATGAAAAATACTATGAATGTGATGGAAAATACACTGGATGAAATTAGCAGCAGATGAGACATCTCAGACTGAATTTAAAGACAAAGCAATAGAAATCATCCAAGATGAAAACAGAAAGAAAAAGACTAAAAAAACAAATAGAGTATCAGTGACTTGTAGGACATTAAACAGTCTAACATTGAGAGTTTTGTAAAACCGGACAAAAGAAATGAATAACTAATAGGGAAACACTTCTAAATTTGATGAAAACTAGGAAGGCACAGATCCAAGGAGCTCAGTGAACTCCAAGCACATGTAAAGGAAGAATATTTTAACAAGACACATTATCATCAGATTGTTTAAAGCAATGATACAGAAAAAATCTTTAAAGTAGCCAAAGATTAAAAGTCAAGCTATGCACAAATGAACAAAGTTAAGAATGACAGCAGTCTTCTCATCAGAAACAAGGCAGGCAGAGGCTGTGGAGAAATGTCTTTGAAGTATTGACAGGAAAATAAAAAACTGTCAACCTAGAATTCTATATCCATTGAAAATATCTTTCAAAAACTTTGCAAAAACTAAAATAATTCGTCACCAAGAGACACACACTCTAAGAAATGTTAAAGGATATCTTTCAGGCAAAATGAAAAAAAAAAGTCCAGATGGAGTTGGTAAGCCAGCTATCTAGGGGGGATAAAAAAGGAAAAAGAAAAGTGGATTTATAGCACTGACGAATTTCATGAATATAAATATTCCTACTACGGCCAAATTCAAGCTATCAACAGTTTAACAACTAGCTCACAAAATTTTTGAATATTTAGCAATTGGGTCTCAAGAGCTCCTACAAGCCAGCTACAGAATATTACTGATGGAATATCAATAGTAAATATGTGATAAATATAAAAACATGTTGTTTTATTTTTTTTTAATTTCTGTAAAAATAATCGCTCTTCTACCTCCAGCCACAATGAAGTAAGGACAAAATATATAAAACAATAGTTGTT